ACTTGTAGACTTCAACTCCCAGAATTCTATGCTGGTTGAGGGACCCCTGATGTAAAAGAAAAGCTTTCCTTCTGTCCTACAAGACAATGGTAATGACTTGAAACCCAAGAAACAAATCAGTTCCCAAACTGCTTTTTTTGTTTTGCAAGCCATTGTACCCCACAAAATGAGCTATTAAAATTCAGCTGCAGAACACCAAGTATCAGCAGTATTGTTTACAGCTATTTTATTGGTTACTTTAATGTTTCAGCTCCTAGAATGGGCTTAATACGGCACAATAATAACCACTGCCACCTAAAGTTGGGAAAAATAAGAATACGGTAATCTAGAAAATGCAATCCTGTGGAACTTTCAGTTGAAACAGCCAGCAAGAATCTTGTCTCAGAAATCAAACGGACTTATTAAAATCTAGATAATGCCATCCTGTTTACATTCACTATAAAAAAAAAAGGCTTGTTGAATTTAACCATCTAGCAAGCATATGTAGTATTAGTTTCAGTTGTTGGTATCATACCATGAAGTATTGGCTCATTTGACGTAAAACAAGTGTACTTCTGACAATGTTGGAGTGTACCATCTTAAAAAACATCAAGGGTTCAGCTTACATAACTCAGCAAAGGGTCACAGTAATCATTAACTTTGCCCTCTTCCAGTTCACTTTGTTCTCAAGTCACCTGTTTGCTTGGATTAAACATATAGCAGGATGTTAAGAGAAGGAAAAACATTTCGCAGCTGTAGCATTCTTTGCTAGTGTGTGGAATTCAAGAGAGAAGGAGACCAAGAGGACAGCTCTTCCAGAAAAAGCTGCTTTAAAAAGAACAAAGATCCACCATCTTTCATTTAAATAACCGCAGGGCAATACAGTAATATATTCACTACTATAGTGTCATGGGTGCAAGGCATCTAAAAGTGGTACAGCTGAATGAACTAAAAATGTAACAGGAAAATTTATCCACAAAGGAAATATTCTTGGTATCTCATTGATAGTTATTTATTAAGATATTTCAAGGCAAGACTTAATTTCCAATGAAAATTCCTATCTCCATCAGTTATGGCCAATTTATAACATCAGTAGAAAGACCCTCTCTAGACTATGATGAAGGGTATCTTTGTTGAATACCCTTTCAAGGAGAAAGAAGGTGACACACAGCACATGTAAAATTACAATGGCAGATATAATACTAATGGAATGTTGCTGTTTTTTTATGACTTCAATATCTTTTTTTTTTCATAAAGGAAGAATTAAAATATGTGAGTCTCCTCTCTTTGCTTATCAACCACACATAATACAGTCAAAGAGCAGATACAGAATTTGATTCTCCCGATTATTTCAAACAGTCCCTAGTCATACCATGTCGCATCCTTTTTGTTAAGCTACAGTGTTTATTTCATATATTAAAAAGTACTAGGGAGTGGTATCATGATTGTCACATTAAAATCCACGAACCTCCAAATAACTTCAAATATTCAAATGATCAGACTTCTTTCCAATAGGCTGGACTGAAATCAATTAATCAGAAACATAAAAATCCAGGAACTTCTGATAAGTAGTTTATTGTAGAAAATTCTAAGAAACCATTCTGAAAGAATTCCAATGATTGCTGTGAATGGAATGAGAATCCTATTTATAATGAAATCAAAGTTGTTATTTTTATATCCCTTCCTCCTGCTGTTCAGCACATTAGGATGCACATCCCTTTGTTTTTGGCAGAAAGACTGGTCCCTTATTTTGTTAACTGGCAAATCTAGTATCACTTTGTTTTCTTTTGATCATGTGAGAACTCACCAATTTGATAACAAATGATATCAAAGGATCTACTTTAATCAATCAAAATCCCATATGTGGATGGCATTATATTGGGAAAGGTTTTTATAGGCAGAAACTTCCAAAGTTGGTGACCATGGTTTTGGTTTAATTTCTTGCAAAGACAGAAGTTCTTAATTGACTCCAGTTGTAAGAAGCATTCATCTAACACACTTTTTGAATACATGCAAAATACCTCATAAATACGATTATTATTGTTCTGCTGTTTCTTCCATAAACATGTTCTTGGATCAGCAATTCCCAGTCAATTGTGACATGCTAAGATATACATTTTATAGGGAGAATATACATCTTGCAATTATATGGCTCTGGACATTTGACATGTTTAAACAACAACTATAAATAAAATTCATATAAAACAACAAAAGCAGCCTATTCATTGTTTGCTACTATTGTTTCTATCCAATTGTTTCTATCCACCATAACTGATCTGACAGGAAGCATATGCTCCGCATACCGACTAGGCAGTGTGGACTGGCAAGGTCCAGGGGGAGATTTTTTTTTTTCTGTCACAGCCCCCACCCTTTGGAACATCATTCCCACTGAAATTACACAGATGCGATAGGTGGAGTGATAAGTTTGGCACCAACATGAGGGGAGCTTTATCTCTCCTGTTCTTTTTTTTCATTTAGTCCAATGTGCTTACAGTGAAGTGAAAATTAAAATGGTGACAGAAAAGGAGTCCTAGAGAGGCTTCTTTTTCATGTGGCTGCTTTAGGGCTATCACAGATGGAAAAAGGATGCATTGTTTTGCTGGTAATCCATTCAGAACTCAAGACTGCACGGGGAAAACTAATTCATTTGGGAAAAATTGTCTGAGTTATTTCTCTGGAATAAGGGGTTTGTTTGCTGTACACTCTACTTTCCATGACCCAATTAAGTAGGTCAGGTAAACAAGACCAATGAATAATGGGAGTGACTTTCAGGCTTCCAAGTGATTCAGCAATTTTTAAAACTTTTCTTTCAGAACCGATACTGATTTACAAGCACCCACCAGCCCAAGCCTTTATTAAGGCTTTTGCAGTCTGATATGGGATTAAAATCTCCTTGCCTTTTTTTATAAGAATACCTTAAGCACTGTGATATCAACATTAGAAACAAATTTCATTATCCAGTTATTAATATTAATAATGGTTCTAGTAGTAATAGTATTACTTTTAATCTACCAATAATTGACATTCTCTGGAGAGATTATAAAACTACCAAATCAGAAAAATAATCAAACATACATGTAGGAAGTATGGATCATATATTCATAGGACATATGTCACACAGGAAATATCAAAAATGCCAAAAGGCTTTTATCCCAGTGTGGTGTGGGTGCTTAAAATTAAAAACTAGCTATCAAAATGCTGCTGGAAAAATATTGATGAACTAATGCACCAAAAAGCCACCTGTGTGGGTTCCAGGGATGTGTTTCCTTTTCCTGTGTGGGGAATCACAATTAAGAAGACCTTTTTTTTTTTTGTAGGCACCTGACACATCTGATTAGCTGGGGCAACCAGAGAAGGCCTCCATATCAAAAACCCAGGCAGATATTTTTGAAATATGATATTGCTTAAAATACTCTGATGCTAAGTATCTGCAATTTTAAAAATCAAAATGAACACTTTATTTATATCTCACCTTTATTATTTGTATAAATAATTTGTATAAATAATTTCTATGGCCACCCATCTCAAACAAAGGACCAAATGCAACCCATAGAGCAGTGATGATACATGTATCCAAGATCCAACACCACTGATTACTCATGCAGTTGCATTTTACATCAGCTCCAGCTTTCAAATGCTCTTCATGGGCAGCCCCATAGAAAGCGCATTGTAGTAATCCAGATGAAAGGGCATGACAGCATGAGTGGCTATGGAGGTTCCCCAAATTGTACACTGGATCTATTTGGGGTAGTGCTGCTCCATCCAGGACTACAGGGGGAAAACCTTGTCCCTTGAAAGCCCAAGTGCCCAAAGCTATTCAGTGTTGCTAGGACTGAAACGAAGCCCGCTGCATCCTATCCAGGCTCCTATAGCCCCGAGGCCCAGAGACAGGAAATTCACAGCTAATCACTTAGTCCAAAAAAATGGACTAATGGAATTTTCCAAACATTCTTCAAAGTTATCTGGACTTTAATACGCCAAAAAGTAGGTAAGAACACTTGGTAATGAGCAGATTTTTTGGTGGGGAAAAAGAACTTTGAATCTCAGTAAGGATTAAGTAATCAATATGATCATGGAAGTAACATTCAGGGATAGTTTCTCATTCAAGTCTCAAGCAAGCATAAATGAAATTAGAAAGGGAAAGGAAAATTTCTTGTATATTGAAGTCATGTATAAGTTCAGGTTAGTCTTGGATGTGCCATAGTATACAAGTGTTGCTAACTATTTAGAAAATTAGAATTTCTAATTTATGAGTGGAAACCAGAAATTAATATAACATTATTTGTAAAATTTAAAATTTCTTTTTTTATTGTCAAAGTAAATATATTTTATGAAGAACAAAAGAAAAATATACAGAATTGTAACTTATGTACACTGGCTTTAAAGATATTATTTTGACTCTAATTTACATCATCTTTGTGTTTTTAAAAGATATTTTATATAGATATGCAATATGTACAATTTTATTTACATACATTCATAGGATGTGAGATAAAAACTAGTCAATAGGAGAGACATTCACATAGAGTATACAAATTTCCAGAGGACCAAAGGAATGCATTCCTAGCGTAGAGAAATGGAACTATTGCTCTTAAATGACAACATGGCCTCTGTTTTGACCTACTCAACCCAGAATTGCAGTGTTTTAATTCCCGTTTGGTTAACATAAAAAGATAGGGCATGATGCTAAAATGCATTGCTACTGAGCCCCTCTGAAAGCAGAGAACTGCTCACAGCTAATCCTGTCCCACTGCTTTCAGGGAGGTTCAACCAGGTTCAAGCATGACTATGTTTGCTCAGATTTGCTATCAACATGACAGCTATGACTGTACAACACATTTAGTTTTGCAATTGAATTGACCCATTGGGGCTTTGAATGATCATCTAAAGCTAAAACAGAACAAAAAGCTGCATTAAAAGTAATCCAACTTAAAATGTTGCACAAATACTGCCACAAGGTCCTTAACTGATTTGTTATGCATGTTGTGTGATCATAGCCTATTCTTTAAAAATATCCAACAACCCTACTTACTACATTCTCATTCTCTAGAAACATCCTAAAAATCAGTAGAGTACAAAAAGAAGAAAAAATGGTGGAAGGAAATGTTGCCTAACACGGTATTTTTTTCTGCTGCATCAGATTATCTCTGTGTTGTGTATATTCCCTTTAAAAAAAATTAAAGGCCCTTAAGACAGCTACCATGCTAGTTGGCTGGAACACCCAATGCTCCAGTTGCATTGCTCTCTGAATAGTGGCCCATATGGGCACTGAGCATTCTAGTACCGCTTACTGCTGAAATCTCTCAAAGTGCTTTCATAAAACATTCATGAAGTCTGAAGTCCTTCCTCTTCAGCCACTAGGAATATGGATTAGGTTCAGTACTGTAAACAAGGGCAAATTGGCTCAGCTGGTTTTTTTCACCCTTAGTCTGGGAAGATGCGATAGAAGCTGAGGCAAAAGGATTGGCACAGTTAGAAACTAACGGTAACGTTCCAGAAGAGGTCACATAGATGTTTTTTTTTGCAGGAATGGTAGTTGATTAAGGCTCCGCATACCCAAAGTTAATGGCACAGCAAGAAATTGACACAGGATTTCATGCAGCTATCCCATTCTCCCACAGCACAATCAGGGGAAGGGGGGAGAGAACGGGGTGGGACACACTAGCCCGCTGAAGGATCTATTAAAGACTAATGACAAGCATCATTCCTGGAAAAGAGGGCCATGATCCTTTTCTGCTATTCAATAAAGCAACAGAGGTGGCCACCCTTCCAGGACCAGGAGCACCTTTGTAATTTTGAGCCATATCAGTTTAGAAAATGGTCATCGTGCAGGAAGGTTTGCCTGTTCATACAGTGCCTGCCAAGAGAGGAAATGGCCAATCACCAAACACCCATTTAACAATATTCAAAACTGGGGAAATGGCTTTCCTCTACTACTACCACAAGCCTCCTGAATATTCTACACCTCTTCAGCTTATCAATTTTTTTCTAAGAGCACCTTCAAGTTCATATCAGATTATGAGGCATTCATGCATATGGCTTCCCATGGTGGGGGTTGTATATTAAAAAAAAACAATTATCAAGTTGAGTAGAGTCTGGAACAATAGCCATCACATTCCCTACTTCTGATAGTAGCACCTTAGCAGTATTATAGTTTGAACTTCATAGAAAAACTCCATTCATTTCCTCCATAGAACTGGTCAGCCAAATACACACGCACACATGCAAACACACACCTATCAAATCCACAGCCTACCTTAGTTTCTTATACGGTAGGAACAGATTGTCCATGGCTGGATTTTGGCACTATGACGTATAGTGCAGGATTGATGTGCTCTACTAATAAAGAACCAAAAGAAAATTCCTAGATAAATGATTTAATACATTGAATAGATGAATATTTGGCCTTCTTAATAACTGGTGTGGTTGACAATTCTATTCATCTTTGGTATAAGTCTTTAATTATGCAAGCTTAACTGTTTAAGATCTTGGGAAAAATATTATCAGATTCTAATTATGAAATGTGAGAGAATTGCCTCAGCTTGGATTTCTCCAACTTGATTGTGATGTTTGGGGACTTCTGCAAGACAAATCCACTTGTCCACATGTCCAAGTTGAAGAAAAACAGTTTTAGCCCCTTCTGTGTGTCCAATCCAGAGATTATGAATCTGAATAGTATGAAATGGAGAACTGGGCAACAGGATACTTCTTTGAAATTTACCACAGTTTTATACAACCTAAAGAAGACTTGTGCCTAAATTGTGGGACAACTCATGCAAAGCTATTATCTCTGGGCTGAATGACAAAAGGTCATATTTTGGAGATTAGGTGAAAAGGCATGAATGTCTTATCCTAATTTATTTATCTCCTTCAGCCATGTGAGATATAACAGGCATTTTCAAACATACTAATCTTTACATGGGATTAAGAACAAGGGAGAGTGAAGCATCTTCTCAAGAGGGAAAGCCGGTAAGTCTGCAAATGGCAGCAAACTAATAGGCTCAGATATGTTGTGCACACAATCTGGAAAAATATAGGGTTTATCCAGACTAGTTCCATAGTTTATTGCTTAGTCTAATCAAAGATCCACCTATTGGCAATCTTCTTTCTATATACAGACATACTCAGTCACACATGCACATGTATTGCTAACATGTTTCTTCTGTTCAGGCTCCTTTGAGAGCACCTATGAAGATCTAGCTAGGGAACCCAACATCAAATCATTGTATCAACAAAAATGAACTCATGAAAATGAAGTGGATTTCTTTTCCATTTCAAAAGGAAATTGTTCTTTCCAAAGCGGATAAATAGGCCAACTTAATAATATTAATAATGCATTAAAAAAAAAACAACCTCATGATGAATAGCCCTATACATGAGCAAAAGTGCTCAGGAATGCCAGAACTGTAATTAACTAGCAGCAAGTTGTCCATATATTATCATGATGTTGGAGCTCAAATGATTGAAAATGAAATGCTGTAATTCTGTAATTTTCAAAAAGAAGTGGCAGCGACAGCAACAAAAAGAATTAGAAAAAAATAGCAAAGCTGGTGAATGATGGGGGGAGGGGAAAGGGACGTGATGTCTTAATGGCAGCGGTTACATGGAGAGAAATAAATTATCACAAGAAAGGAACAATTGCTGCTTATGGCAGTTCTTAGAGGCATGGTGGAAAGGACTGGACCGGACACATCAATTGACTGAGCGCACTGAGCGGCTGCTTCGTGGAAATCGATGGACTTTGACATGCTTGGACAGGTGGTCACTCCGTGCAAACTTCTTCTCACACACAGGGCACTGATATGGTTTCACTCCAGAGTGGGACCGTCGATGTCGAGAAAGTTCATCTGATCGTGAGAACCTGGAAGCAAATAAGAAAAGATTATCAGTGTGATGCCTTCACCTTTAAGTGGTCATCACCATACAGTATATAAAAACAGAATCAAGAATATTCAACATTATGATCATTCTTTCAAGGAAATACTCCTGAAGAATACTTCATTTTCTCCCCTTTTATGGCCCTGTAATCCCTTGTATCGAAGTGGGTGACTGAATGGAGCTGAGCATTTACTGGTCGGATGTCCTTCTTAATGCCTATGAGGAGTTTGCAGCAGATATTTACTCTTTGCACCCCAATAGAGAAACATCTGGCACTGCCTAGGATTGAACTCTCAACCTCTTGAGTGTGAGGCGAGTGTCTTCATCTCTAGGCCATCACACCACTCAGCTGAAGAATACTTCAATAAATCCTGCCAAATAGATTATTTTTATTCATCAGGACATTTTTTGGAAAGCACTCAGGGAGGCAAGTAACCCAAGATGCATATATGAAAAGTCATTCAAACAATGGTTCAATATCTGAAACATTTTCATTTCAAAGTAAGTTATTTCAGAATCTTGGATTATCTCCACCCTCCTGTTTACTGGCCATGGCTTTCAATGTACACATATATTATGTATACACACACACACACATACAAACCAAAACAGAGAGAGAAAATGGCAATTATATGAAAAGTAACTGGGCAGAGATAAGTCTCAAATGAATATTATGCTACTCACATCTTAATAAGACCCTATTATTCATACATTGTAGAGTATAAAGCAGAGATTGTCCAAAAGCTTTTTAGTATCCATTTGCTCTCACCTACATAAACAATAGCAGGCCAATCTATTTTATGGCAATATGGTTAAGGCTTCCCTATCAGTTACTCTAGGCACAGTGCTCATTTCCATTTCTTAGCCAAGGGAGTCAGCGTTGCCCGAAGACATTTTCCATGACCATGTGGCCAGCACGGCTATAAGCCAAAGACACATGGAATGCTATTATCTTCCTACCAAACTGATACTTATTAAATTACTTGCATTTACATGCTTTCGAACTACGAGGCAGGCAGGAGCTGGGACAAGTAATGAGAGTTCACCCCATTGCATGATGCTTGAGCCTTGAACCCAGGCTGTCAACTTTCAAGCTGAAAAGAAACTCTCAAGACATTCTTTTGAAATACACATTTTGCTAGGAAAAATTCCAAAGGCCTTTTTTTTTCCTGCCCTCCCCTCCAAAAAGGAGGGTTTTAATTTTCCATTTTCTAGGATAAAATAATTGCTGCTGTCACCTGCAACAAACCTGAGGTAAGGAAATAAATTTCCTCTGCTCCAAGAATGGGTTTTTCCCCACAGAAATTTCATTAGGCATTTCCAAAGTATCATTTGCATGCAGAATTAAAATGAAAAGTCAATTGGAAAACCTAAGAATTCATGAAACACACTTGGGCTTAGACACCTTTGAATAGTAGAATCTCATAGTTGGTATCAGCCAGAACAGTGATGAAGATTGACATAAACTAGAATCTTTAAGAACTGTTGTTCCTATAGGAAATAAATGAAATTAGAGGCATATCTTATCCAAAAAATGTATTGATCCCAATAATTTCCTCCTCCTTCATGTTAAAAGTGGAAAAATTTGGAAGAGTTTGGGGAGCTATGTCCAAAGTATTGAGAGGCCACATGTAAGGACCCTGAGATGTCAAGTGGTACAACTTTGTTTTAAGAGGATAAAGTTAGTTTTTCTTCAAGAAAAAAATATAACTTCTCTTCACAAGCTAGAAGAGAACTGGACTTTTTAAACTGAAACACTACCAACAATTATGTGACATTTTTGTTCATTTTTTCTTTGTATTTTATCTCTATTCTTTTAGGGAATTAAAAAATTACCCCTGCTAAATAGAATTCTTGTCTGTAGTCTCTCTGATATTTATTAAGCATGTTTGAACAAAATATTTCTTAATGTTTGTTGTTGGACTTTAGGAGCAAGACCTCTTGGAGTAGGGAGGGAGAAGGTTCAGGGTATGTGCTACCTGGCCCATGAAAAGGAACATGAGTTAATATGATAAAAATATATTTTGTATCACAGCTAAGCCTTCAGTTGATCAGGTAACAACATTGCTATGTTGGCATTCAGTTTGCTTGAAAAGATCGGTTTACTATAACTACAGAAATAAAATTGCAGCTCCTAATGTGCTTACAATATGTACCCACCCAAACATTAAACATAAAAGATTCAGATTATTATATAATGCTCTCTGAAGACAGAAATGGACAGTGTGTTTTATAAATTGATTTTTCCACATTTAGGTTTGATTGGGTATTAATATACAATTATTATCTTTCATTTATGGAACCTTATACAGACTCCAGATATTATCAACTTCCATTTTTAAACCCTCCCATGTTTCCTGGCCATCTCGTTTGCCTTTTTCTTGATAGGAAATGTAAATGTTGAGGATAAAAAGGCAGTTTTCTGTACATGCTTTTGAATAGTAGCAGCAGGAGCTCCCAAGCAAAGGATTTAGTGCTATTAAATATGCTAATTGAAGATTAGTTTGAAAGTTGCCTTGATTCTCTGAGCTACTCTTCTCACAAGATGCTGGAGTCATTTTTCTAGGAATGGGAAAGTAATAAGCAATCAATTGTGGAACTGTGAATCAATTTAAACAGGATTTTGTGCATCTCTTGGATCAACTCCAAGGCATTTGACTTGATCTGGAGATTCAATTATTTCTCCTAATGATATTCAGTTAGCAGAGCTGCATTAGAGTAAAGAATATGATATCTAAACTAGATAAAAACCCAATTACTCCAGAAAGAGTCTTTAGTATTAATCATTATTTTAGTTGCTACTGGCAGATTTAACTACCAGAAAGTCCACTGAAGTCACCAGTTCTCCAAGAACACAATTTAAGAACAACTGAAAGCACAATTAACATTAACATTCCTTACAGATAGCTTATAGGGCAGTAGTAACAAATAGTGGAAGGACAAGATTCCATGCTGGATCTCTACAGAAACATCTCTTTCAGAATAATTTTGAAAGGAATTCCAAATTTTTAGTATTTTTAATTCAACTTTCCTATGAAATCAAAATGGAATCTCATGGATTAGACATATTATATCTAATCTTCTGAAGGAATCGCTGATATACTTGAAGTTCCAAGGACTGTCACATCTATAAATTTGCAAGCATTGACTTCTCAAATATCAAGGGCGTGAAATTAAGACTAACTTCATAGGTGAAATATGATTCATGGAACTGAGTTTAGGTGTGTGAACTTCAAAAGGTTCCAAGCAGAATTTTTGAAAACAGAATTCATATATTGTTAATTCTATCACTTTCAGTATTTCTACCGATCTTATACCCATTTAATCATCTCTTGCATTTTGTATTTGGCTAGTGGGTTTTTGTGTGTGTGTGTGTGTGTGTGTGTGTGTGACAATAACATCTAGTTCAGCTGGGTCCTTTAAAAATTTATATGGGAAATGTTTCTCTGGAAAGGAGATTTATTCATGTAACTGCTGTTTAAGGACCCCATAATGGTACAAAAAACTATCAATGCAATTAAAAATTAATCAGGGCTAGCAGAATAATTTGCCCAGAATAATTGTAACCATGACATGCAACATTTTACTACCTTGTAAGCTTTCCCAACCTAGAACCCTGGCTGGGCTAGAATGGAGGAAACTGTTTTACATTTTGTCAGAGCAATTTTATCTATTCAATCCAGGATTGTCTCTTTTAGTACCCAGTACCCTAATCTTCTCACTTGGGAGAAATGGCTCCTGAATGTAGGACATTTTCATGTTGAGAGATTGCAATACTGTATACAGTTAGGAGGTGATGTGCTACCTGAGAGTTTATATCACATTACAAGACAGATCTCTACAATCTGCAGAAACAGGGCTGCTGCTGCTAGCAGAGGCAAAATAGTGAAAGCAAAAAGAGGCCCTGCTCACACAACAGAAAACCCCAAAAAGGTGGAAGAAAGTAGATCGCCTCACAGGCTGATATCAGATTTCCTGATGTTTCCTGAACACTGTCTTGCTCCAATGGAACCCCACTGGCATCAGCAGAAGAGGCCTTTTCTAGGTCCTGTCAGCCATGGAATTTCACCTAGCAGGAGGATCAAGGAGAACAGACTTCTCGGTCATGGCCTCCTGCCTGTGAGAATGACTTGCCACCAGAGGTGAGATCCAACCCCACCCCTCTGGCCTTCTGGAACGGCCTTAAAATGTGGCTCTGTTGGTTGACTTGGCCCCGTGATGGGAGCTCACTATGCTAGAAGTGGTTGATTGAGTGAGAAACAAAATTCCATCATCACCACCCTTCCCCCATACCACCCATGTCCTTGATTTACATCTTTTATTTATTTGCTGTCAAAACTTAAATTTTAATGCCTTTTTATCTACGCTTTTATACTACTGTAGGCCATCCAGAGCCACTCGAGACAGTGAAAAGGGTAGCGTATAAATTTAATAAATGAGTATAAAACATCCAGTTTCTTTGGGCTGGTGAGCAAGTATTCTGATCAGGAGTGGAGCTGCTAAGTAAAGGAAAACACACACACAAAGACTCAAACACATCAATCCTTCCATTCTCTAACAAAGCTGCTACCAGATGCCTTGCCTGGCTCAAGATTTAAATAAGAAAAGCTAGGCTCTTCAGAAAAGCAGAGACAAAGGGCCTTTTGTACTTTTGTACTTTTCAGAGTGTTTCTTGTTCTAGTACCAGTGAGATGTTGAAGAAGAACTCTGAGCTCCGAAACACATCAAGAAATGGGATCATCAATCTTGCACCTATCTGTTTCAGATTTCCTTCCTTCTTCTGTTCAGCTCGGAGTTACCCTGGGCTTGCTCAGTGGGGCTGAGAAAGAAAGCGGGGGTGATATTAAGCCCAGAGAATGGTGACAAGAGCAGTTTTATTTTATTTTTTTCCTGTGAAGCAAAGACGGTAAGGCACAAACCAAACTGGAGGTAGTACAGTCCAAATTCATTTTAGAAGCAAAAACTTCTAATGCAGCCAATCAT